TTTTCACCAAAAATAAGCTGTTTTGGTCTGACGAAGGGAACGTCGCATCATCAAAATCGCGCGCGCTCTTGGATTATTACATAAGTAGACGAAGGAGGAGGAAGAACTGGACCGAGCGCGCGAAGAAGTCAGAGAACGGAACCGCCCGAATATCGACGATCTTTCCTCCATTTCTAGTCGAGGAAGAGATGCCGTTGCATGCACCACACTTGTCGAAGACAAGGTTAACAAACCGCACTAGATAAGAACAGATAGCGTGGAAGAAGGACAATCGTACAAAAATACAAACTTATAAATTAAATCCAAATAGTTTAGTTTAGAATCTTTAAATTATGGAAAATAGAACAAAATACGCTTTCCGTAAAATTTAAGCGCTCTTTTCTTTCTTTCGTTCAATGAGTCTTGTCGCTGCACCGAGGACCTCTCGGTCGCAAAAGGTCAGGCGAGGTCAGGAGGTCGCCCAAATTGATAACGGCGATGATGATTAATCCAATAAACGCCACCGCCGTTGCCTCCGCACGTAACGTACATTTCAATTCGTCGGATATCAAACAAACGCCATCTCGTGTACGGTATGGTGTTAACGACCAAAATTATAACATTGTACTTGTCAAGTAACGCGTAATGTAAATCCCGTCATATTTAGTGACAATACATAAATTGTATTGTAATGTACAATGAAAAAATTAAGGACGAAGAAACTAATAAAATGATTCAGAGCTTGCAAAATCGACGCGAGTGTGAGAATTTCGCAATTTCTGCGTGCGTTATTGTTTCTACGCTGCGCTGTAAAATATTTCTTTCTATTCCTATTACACAGTTAGTTTTTTTTTTCGGTATAGATTTGGTGCGGTTGCAAAATGCGATTCGCTATTATTGGCCGTACCAAAAACGGTGGGCGAACATATGGTGTTTCGACGATTTCTTTTTTTTTTTCTTAGTTTGTTTCTTTGCAGTCATTACTTTGTTTCTGCGGCTTTTTGAAAGTCGCCCGACATACAATCAAAAACAATAAACAATTATCGTTGCGCTTGTTTTTTTCGTTAGTTTGATACAATTATTTGCTTTGCGTCTGCATTTTGTATGCGATAGATTTACCAATTGTTTTCATACACTGCTGAAACGTGTTCAAATATTGCAATACTCTTTAATTTCGCGCCATATAATATAAATTCACAGCTTTTGCAGTGTTTTCGAATTTAATAATTGTTTATCAATTGAAATATCGAATGGTTTGGTGGTATACTATCATATTATGAAAACACTACCGCCATCTACCGACAACTAGCTATGTTAACAGGTAACTGCACAGGACTGCGAATGTTGTGTTGCCTATGCTACATTAATATATACAGGGTGTTTTCGTGTGGATTTGGTACATGGTATTGGTAGAGTCGTATTTTATTTTAAACTACTTTTTACCGACAGCAAATGAGAACAGGGGTGAGTTGAACTCTGCCAGAGGCGTCCTCACGGGAATGCCGACGATGCCGGGATACGGTTGGAAGTTGTGGAAACCGAACGAGCCGCCCAGACTCATGGCAGGTCCGTCGACGACGTAACTGGCTGCCGCGACCAAAGCATCCGTAAGTATGCACTTCCTGCCGGGGAAGATTTGCTCGTACCATATGCCCAGTTGCTTCTGGGCTTTGGTGGCGACCAGGAAGATGTCGCCGTTGTGCGACGGATATTGCATGGAGTAGTTGATTCGCATCATCTCGATGTCATCGCTCGCCTGCTTCGTGTACTTCTCCACGTACATATAGTACGCATCTTGGTCCAGGTGCAGATTCTCCAGGTTCTGAATGTGTTGCACCACCTCATTCAGCAAGCTCGAAAGCTCTTTGCTGAACCTAGGAATCGGACTGTTATTCTGTCATAAAAATCAGTCGGATTAGTGTATAGTAAAAAAAACAAATGTATCTGTACTCACCATGAAAAAACCACCCTCGGATGTTCCCAACATGAACTGAAAACAAAAACTATAATTAATTGTTACATTTAAGACTCAATTTAACGTTTAGTATAATACAACAAAAGATTATTTTAATTTATAGGTTTGGCACGGAGTCTTACTGCGAGTAGAAAGATCAAACCGGCGACGTTGAATCTCCTCATCTTTCCTTATTGCGTTTTCAGATTCTTCTCGCACAAGAGGCAGGAAGGAGGTTTTCTCGTATTTATACGCGAGGCGGAGTGATCGACGCGACGACGAGAGCGAGATTCGACCGGTCCTCTTTTGTTAGTAAATTTAATTGGGCCCAGAGGAACAAAGGCGAAGCAAAATTGATAAGAGGGAGGACGGGATTGTTCGACATTCGGTCGGCCGGAACGAATTCAATTGGTCTTTGGGAAAACAACCGTAAATGAATAGAAAAGAAAAATAATCGATTTTCATTTGCTCCTAATAATGAATTTACTTAATTAAGTCCGACGGATACAAATTTTCACGGCCAAATCGAATCTTATTAAATTTAGAACGTTGCATGAAATTAGATACATAATTACCGAATATTTAAGAAGAGGATAAAAAGTATTTGCGCGGGTGATAAATTTTCAATTTTCCATCATCGTTAACACGGCCATTGTGGTAATTGCAATTAGGCGAAGAACAATGGGTCGTAACTTTTATGGGCCATTTACTGAAGGTTTCCCCGGTATAAAGGCGACCGCGCGGATGGTCCTGAGGTAGAGCCAAGATGTTCGTCAAGAGTCTCCTGAAGGCTTTCCTGCTGGTGGTAAGAGCGCAGCGCAATCTTATGGAAACGGTTAATATTTTTGCATCGCTTCGCAGGTTTTCATCGGCACGGCGGTATTCGCCGAAGAGGAGGTAGTACTTTAATATACATATGAACTGCTTATGTTGAAATTAATAAATTTGTATTTAATTAGACACCGGTCGTTGCTGAAACCGTGACGGAGACGCCGCTATCTCCAGAAATTGACGAAAAAGTAGAGTCGATTGTGGAGAACGTAGTGGAGACCATCATCGAGGAGGATGCCGCGGCCAAAGCGAACGCGACGGAGGCGGGCGCAACGGGAGGCGGCGTAAACAGGAAAGCGATTCAGGCGGCGATTCAGCGGTGTCTGCAGACCGTTGACACTTTGAATCCCGACACCAATCAAGAGGTCCGTGCGGACGCGAGGGGGATGCATGTCGGCAACAGCGGCAAATCAAATCTGGAGGTGATCGCCGAGAAATTACAGAAGCTTCTACTTAACACCAGGAATAAGAAGAAGCGAAAGATCATCAAGAAGGTCCTTAATCAAGCGCGAAACATGATTAGAAACAAGACCAATCAAAACCAAATAAATATTACAATTTAGTGATGAAATTAATTAAATTATTAAAAAAAAATAAATAAATGAAATCAATGTTATAAAACAACTAGAACGTGCGATGGATCGTACAAATATTTCGCTCGCGGTTATGGTAATTTAATCGCAGAATGCTGCAAACGATGTTTCTCTTTTGTTTTTTTTGTTGTTGTTGTATATTCCGACTATGTCAGATGGGGTTGGTGTCGCCGACCGAAACTGAAAAGTCGTTACTTTGCGCGCCGCGGCGCCCGTGGAAATCGCGATGCTGCTTTTAATATAAATTATGCATAAGTAGATATAAAAGTTAGGGGGTGGCTGGCTGTATTGAATTAACGAGTGCCGGCTGACGTAATTCCCGTAATTGACGGCCGTTTGTGGCGCATTTTTACCAATTAACTATTTGCTTCAGATCTTTTACAGCGAATTACATTTGCATTTTTCAGAGGCCTTTCTCCTGGCAACATCCGACCGACACACACACACACACACATACATATACAACAGTCCGCTAGCTGCACGGCCAATTTGCATACCCCGCCACCACCGTCGTTGCTCTATTTTGTTTCGTTTTTATTCTTTCCCCATTCGTATTTTTCATTTCGTTGTTATTGCAAATTCCATTTACGCTCTCTCGCGAGAACGCGATAATTTGGCACTTACAAAAATGCAAGAGAAACGAAATGCAAAACAACTTACACGCACGTCCGAAAGTTGATTAAAAATCAGCGAATCTAGCATGTAATTTCATTATCTTCGCGTCCTGTAACATGTTACAATAGCAAATGCCAAATTTGCACCTTTCGTAAGTTAAAATTAAACATAAGTTTGGAATTAAAATAAATGATGTAAATTAAGACTCACCCACAGCTGCAGACGTGTAGGACACGAGAAGGCATCGATTTCAATGACTGAATTTTCAGGGGGATTCATCCGAATACTAAGAGAAGGTTATAGCACAGACGATCTTTTGTTATATTTAATACTTTGCATCCACAACGGAACAATATTTTAATGGAATGAGGAAAGGACAAGGATATGAAATAAATGTCATTTAAATCCTATAGATAAATCAACGTATGATAAATCTAGCGGATAAAAACGAGATCCGCTACATTTTCTGTATAAAACAGGTGCAACCTCGAGAAGGTAAATGCGTACGGTCTTGCATCAATTCAGAGGCTGTGTTTTGCGCTTGAATTGATACCTGGTTATCATCTTCGAAAGAAGAAAATAAACCTTTTGCACCTGGACATGCGGCCACGTGGAAGCCGTTGCTCCCATTCACAAGGATTGATTTCAATTTTAGTTGTATGTATGTCACTAATCGTTACGTTCCCTTTCAGGTACCTAGATCATAGCATTTCCTTCTATCCTAATTTCCTTATTTTCTTTTTGATTCCTTCCGGGTGTGCGGTCGCGCGTTTGCTCTCATTTGC